AAAAAAAAAAAAAAAAAGAGGGGGGGATGCAGGGTGCTTTTCATCCCCTCTGCCTGCCTGTATCGATCCCTCTTGCACCGAGGAACAGCACCTTGGAGACGTGGATGCGCAGTGCCCTCTGCGCTGCCTGGGCACCGTTAGCGCTATGGGGTAATTGCCCATGTAAGTGGCCGATTTGCACACGCAATTACCCAATGTGCAATCACAGCCTCGGCCCCTTTGAGCTGCAGCGAAAGCTGCACCAAAGCCTCTCCCAGGAGCCTGCTCCTCTCCAGTGCTTTCCGGTGGGGGTGTGAGCGTCCTGGAAGCCGGGAGCCTCCTCCCAGGGCCCCGCTGCATCCTGGCTCATCCCAAATTAGGTGCTCTTTGCTCCGAGCAGAAGTGGCAGAACCACATGAAGCCGATACTCATGACTACAAACCTCCAGGGGTTCAAAATCTGGGGTCAAGCTTTGCAATTTGATGCTTTAAGTGACTTTTGGGAGGATGAAGAGCAGCCGAGACCCAGGGCCGGCGAAGCCCACGACTGCGGATGCTCTCTGCTCCATGCTGCCTTACCAGAGCCTTTGCAGCCTTCGAAGAAGAGCATCCCGAGCAAGCCGCGTCCCTGACTCACAGAAACCTGCTGGGTAAAAGAAACCCCTCAGCAGCCTCCCTCGCAGCTGAGCTGACTCAAACCCACCTGTGAAAAGCCTTGTTTTTTGAAGTTTTAGGACTTTTTTTAAAGAGAATTCTTTAGTTTCTTTCAGTTCTTCAGCTGAACTTGCTGCTGCTTCAAGAGCCTCATTAGTCGAGTGTCCTGGCTGGGACACATGGTGCAGCTGGATCCAGCGGGCTGCAGGGTTCATGCTGCCTCCAGTGCTATTCTTTTTATTCCATTCAGCTTGATTAATACGAGTATTTTTAAAATTAAGCAACACCCACCAATGCGGTGAGACTTGTGAGGCTTAAAAAGCAGCTCCTGAGCAAAAGCAGAGCACAGCAAAGCTGGTGAGGGCCGGGAGGAAATTTCATTCCAGCTTTCTGAAGATACAACACTGCCTAAATAATTTCCCCTTGTCTTTTCCAACACCGATGGCTTAATATCATCCACTGATTACTGTGCTTTGTAGATAAAGGGTGCCTATATGCCCAGTTTTGGAAACCTTTCAACGCTGAATAAATCTGAGCCTATCTCTTGCCAGCAGTGAGCGGCGGCTCTGTGCCTCTGCGGGCAGATGGGTGGGCAGCTCCCGGGGCCCCCCCCCTGCCTGCAGGCATTGCTGCTCTGCTGTGGGTCTCTTATGTGACCCTGGTCATGCCCCCTGGCTCTACAGCATCCCCGGCACTCAGCTGTGAAAGGGGAGAGCTCAAGTTTTCGTTGGAAAGCGCCCTCAGCACAAACTCCATGGCTTTGATGGGTCTTCACACCATCTTCTGCTTCCTGAGCAGGAGTGATCCCAGGGGTGGGAGTGGAGCCAGGGCTGAGAGCAGGGTGGGTCGGAGAGGCAATGCCAGGTAGGTGTGGGAAGGGCTTTGCTGGCATTTCTGTGCTCTGTTAGAGGCTTGCTGGGTGAGAAGAGCCCCTTCGACCCCTCCTGTGATGCTCCTGAGCATCACTTCTGCGAGTCCTTTGCCGCAGGCAGCAGTGCTGCCTGACACTGCACTTATGAGATCCTTCCCAAGACTTTGGGTTTTATATGAAAGAAACCCCAGTGTGCTCTGAGTCTTGCTATCTCCAGGCAGAACAGGAATGAAATGCTGCTGCCCAGTCCATCCTGAGCCACCCCTTGTGTCTGCCTGTCTGCTGAGTACTGGGAGTTTTCCTTCTCGGAGGATTGTTTGCCAAAGGTTTGCATCAGCTCTCTCTCTGCATCCCACCACCAGCCCGTTGTACGTCTGGCTTTGCAGATGCTCCACTTTTATTCTTAGAAAGTCCTAAATATTTCCGCTTTCCTTCTGAATGACTCCAGTGATCGGGGGTTGCTGATCACTCTGGTGAGTCTCAGCATTTGCTATGAATCTATCCTATTTAATGCTGAGTATTTTTCTGAGCCTTTAACTTGGCTGGGCACCTGGGTCTGTGGCAGAGGCACTGACAGGCATCGCGCTTTCCCGTTTGAACAGAAATGACATTTGAGTTGAAGCTTCATCGGGGGCTTTTTACACTGCAGATTTTCAATGCGTAAATGTTATATATGCTGGCAAACGCTCCTGTCACCTCGCCAGTTGGTGACATCCTGACATTCGCTCTCCCTGGGTACCTTCCCTTGCCAGGGACGTGGATTGATGCCTCCCGTGCATCCCCTTGCCTTGGGAAGTGACCTTTGAGCTGGGAAGTGCTGGGATTCTCGTTGGACTTGCTCTGCAGTGACTGATTTTTACCCACTTTTTTTCCCCCCCAATACTGGGTTCTCTCAAGGGTCTTGAGCTGTTAGGTATCAGAGCAACATGCGGATCTTCTAGTCTAGGTCTGGGGCTGAGCTTGCGGTGCTGTAACGGCGGTGCTGGTAGCAGTGTCCGGCGGCAGAGGTAGGAGAGCACCTGCCTGCTCTTGGTCTTGGTGTTAAAGTGTTTGCTCAAGCTAGTGGGTTGTTGGTTTATTTTTGTTGGTTTATTTTTGTTGGGTTTTTTTAATGTTGTATTATAATTGTTTAATGTATTAAATCAAAATGCATTTCACAACATGCCCTTTGCAGATTACAAGCACACGCAGCTCTGGAAGTGAGTCTAGAGCTGTCATTAATCAGAAAATGTTTTGTCTTGGTGCAAATAACCATATGCTGCTCTGAATTTTGTTGGTAGACTCTGTTTTAATAATGGATGAAAGAAAAGCTGTATGTTTGACATGGGCTTTTTACCTGAATCCTGCAAACCATACAAAAATCTTATTTTCAAACAGTGGGTGAAACTTCAGAACCATTAAAGTCCAGGGAAATTGTTGCCCCTCTCCTTACTGCTGCTAAAGCTCACCCAATGCGGTGAGTCCTGCACACCGAGGAAGGGGCTGGTTTTGTCACTGGGGCCAGCTGGGCTTTCGTGGACACGCTGTCTTCCTCTCCGGTCAGGGGATGAGAACGAACTCCTAGCATCCACGCGTGTCTGTCCAACGTTCATATTCTGGGACTGTCCCACTGCTGTGGGTGTCAGCTAAACACGGAGGAGTATGTTGAGGTTATTTTGATCTTAGATATGGTTTGATCACCATCACCCTCATTAGAGCCTATCAAGAGAAATGGGATAAAGTGTCACTGCATCAAGTGCGGAGCCGTGTATTTTGGGGGCTAGAAAGAGAAAGTCTTCTCCACCCTGGGTGCTCCTCACCTGCCGATGGCCAGGAGGGAGGAGAGTGGCAAGAGCAGAAACGTCCAGTGTGCTGCAGCCATGGCAAAGCTAACGCGGCACTGATGGATCCTGCGTGATTTCCAGCAGGGAGAGAGGGGGCAGCACTGACGCCTTTGTGCAAGGGACCGGCAAAGCCTCCTCCAGAAGTTTGATGTCTAATCAGGTATGATTAATTCAGGCCAGGGCAGGTGCGGAGAAGGGTTGCGATCGGGAAGCAGAGAGCCTGTCTGCGAGATGGGGCTGGAAGAGCTTGGTTTGTTTGGCTTTGCAAAATCAAGGCTGAGAGGAGATGTGATTTGTCCTCTGTAAATACATTGGGTGAGTAAACACCAGGGACAAAGAGCTATAGAAGCTACTTAAAAGACAGCGCTGGCATAAGAACAAACGGATATGAGCTTGTCCTGAATAAATTCAGGCTGCAAGTTAGGCTTCCAACCACCCAACTAGCTTTAAGATGGAACTTGATAATTTTCAGAAGAGATTAATATCCTGTGGTTGCCTGTGGCAGTGGGAGCCCGGCTGTGTGGGGAGCCTCGTGGTCCTCTTCCTTGCCTTTGCCTGGCTCTGCCTCTTCAAGAATGCTTTTGGGCAGAGATCTTGTGTTTTCCCATGGCTGGAGAGCAAAGTCCTGGTGGTGATGTGACTGATGGCCCCGCTGTGCTTGAGCAAGGTGCCACGAGCGGAGCAAGATGGTGCTGAGGGACCCCAGGGACTTGCATCAGCCCAGGTGCATCCTCAGACTAAGTCATGTCCAGGTTGCACCTCAGTGTCCTGAGCTGTGAAATAACCCCATCAGGCACAGTGTAGGAGCACTGGGGAGGTTCCTTGGTCCATGTTTGCCCCATTTGTTATTTACAAGTGTCATCAGTTTTGATTTGTGCGCTTGCCCGTCCACCTGAGTCCCACCTGCCAATGATCTCTGCTGGGTAGAGCTAGAACAGCTCAGCGTCCTGCGCTGCTTGCCTCCTGCACCCCGTGGAAAGGGTCTGCACCAGGTGATGCTCCTCTGCTTTTCAGGGTTGTGGTGGTGCTCAGCACAGCAAACCCAGTTTCATCAGCATACCTGTACAACTGTTGTTAAAAACAGGGCTGTGCCTGGAAATTGCCCTCCTTGAGTGTGCAGGGACTTTCAGAAGCTTCTGCCCTGGACCTATGCAAAAACAGTAACCAAAGCAGACGAGAGGGAGAGAAGATCTGTGGCTGTGTAACTGGTGTATCACATTCTTGCTCATTGACTTTATTCTGATACGCAAACAACCCTTAATTAATTCCTCTGGCAAACTTTCCTGATGGGAGAGATGCAGTAACAAGTCCCCCTGAGCAGTTGGCATATAATGTTTGATTTATAATGTTTGATTATCTAACATTTCTCCAGAAGATCCTTGACTCTTCTCCGCATTTGTGTCTTTTGCAGGATGCTGGAGTACTCACTGGACCTGCAGAATGTCAGCTTCTCAGCGGTCCGCACCGTCCGCGTCCTGCGGCCACTCAGGGCCATTAACAGGGTCCCCAGTAAGTCGGCTTCTTATTCCTCCCAGTTGATGCAGGTTCTTTATATCTGTGCCCCAAAGGTGGAAGAGCAAATGCAGATGCTTTCCATCTTACATTGCAGCTCAAACGTTCACCCAGGCCCTGGTAGTGTGAGGTCCTACCACCGCTCTCTGGTTTCCAGTCTCCTACTTTAATATTCCTTTTGACACCTGTGGCATCAGAGATGAGCCACCAGTCAATAAGATACCCAGGACTGTCTTCAGATGCTTTTCTTTCTCATCTGAAGAGGGTCTTAGGAGGCTGCTAAGGTGAAGGGATGCAGGTGATAGGGATTGACTGAGCCAACAGCCTTTGCCAGGCAGCACGGGCAGAGGGGTCTGAGTCACGCTGCTCCCACCCTCTCTGCACTACCCCATCCTTTCCTGGAGAAACTGGGGTGAGGAAATCTTGTTGTGCCTGGAGACAGCCCCCTGGAAGGCGCTGAGGAGGCTCCTCTTGGAGCATCTCTTGCTCTGCTCTCCAGAGATGGTCCGTGCAGCCAAAAGCCCCAACACCTCCAAAGCAAGCCTGGGTGGGATGGGAGGTGGCTATTCAAGTGCTGGTTTATCAGGTCATGCATGAGGATCTCAGACCCCCCCCTTGAACAGCAACGGGTGGCATTGCCTGCACCTGCACAGCAGCAGGTGACGGCAACCCAGCCCTGTGCTCGGGGAGGCACTGGCCATCGCAAACCCAACCACACTGCCCAGGGAGCCGCTCCTGCTGTGCCCTGCTGGGCAAAGCCCAGGTGCTGCGAGAGGTGCTGAGCTCCGTCCCTCTCGGACGCTGTACGGATCGGGTGTGATAAGCGTAAGTACAACTCCATTAGAAACGTCATTTTCCTGGTCCTATAACCCTGGGTATCGAATCCAGCATTGTTTTAGCCAAATTAAATCCAAGTCCAAACTCCCCTATCTGAACTAGCCCCATGCCTTGGTGAGGACTAATCAGCTTCAGTTCTGTCTGCCCACAGGGGGGTTGGACTAGACCTTTAGAGGTCCCTTTCAACCCAAACTATTCCATGGTTCTGTGAATGCTGGAGGTGCCTGGGTTCTGTTTATTTTTCTGGTCCTGACTCTTGAACTCACTCTGGCTTTGCTGCTGCTGCTGTTTCAGTCATTATGGTAGCTTCAGAATGCCGTTTGCAACGTTTTTTTTATCCCCACTGCTGAAGTGATGGATGGCTGAATTTATCAGCCACTGTCTAACTGGGGATGTAATTCACTTAATATATTTTGAAATCCCGGGTAATTTATCTTGGCTTCTCTGCAACGTAGTTACAATGGAATAGAAATGTAAGGTGGGAAAAGAAAAAAGGGCGTTTTGTATGATGATAAATGCAGTAACCAGAGAAAGTAATCCCAGTTAATTAGGAGTTGACGCAAGGTGGTCGTTCCCCAGTAGAGGAGTAGAAGAAAAACCCTGACAGAGGAGGTGACAGCATCAGGAAGGGAGAAAAAAGTCTTCTTGAAGTATCAAAGCAAAGGGTGCAACACTAAAGCTTTCTTTAAATGAAAATCAATATAAGCGAGTGAGAGAATGCAGAAGACGGGGAAAGAAGAAGAGCGAGAGATGAGCAGAATATTACAGAGACGTCAGATGAAATCAATTTTTTTGTGTGTAAATGTCAAGTTGAAGTCACCATCAATTTGTCTTTTTTACAGAACTGGCTGTTCCTGAACTTGTGAGAATTAACTGCCAGAGAGAGTCCTGTATTTGAAGGAAGAGAGGGGATTTAGGGTAGATGAGGGGAATTAGGGAGGGAAGGGAATTTTAATATATACTGAGTGGGGAAAGAAATACGACTGAGCAAGGGAGAATGTCAGAGTCTGGTCTCAGGGAAGAAAGGAGACATATAATTGCTAGAAAACTTTAGGAGGAGAAGAGGACTTGAAATGGGGAGTGAAGGGAGAGGAGCAGGTAAGGTAGGTCGTGTGCCCAGGAGCAGGGCACGGGTGAAGGGGGTATCTCAGGGGCTTTGGGGGGAAACCAGAGGGGACTGGGGAGGTGCGGGTGTTTGCAAGCCATGTGTGGGTGACAAGGACAGTGGCTGGGAAGGCAGCGCCTGTCAGTTCAAGGAAAAGTATGGATGGAAAGGAAAAGGTCAGGAGGATGTAGCTGGATAAGAAAATTCAGCGTGGAGTTTTCCTCTTCCCTGACCGCTTCCTCTTTGCCCCAGGTATGCGCATCCTGGTGACACTTCTTTTGGACACGCTGCCCATGCTGGGGAATGTCCTCCTCCTCTGCTTCTTCGTCTTCTTCATCTTCGGCATCGTGGGAGTCCAGCTGTGGGCAGGTTTGCTCAGGAACCGCTGCTTCCTCCCTGAGAACTTCAGCATGTGAGTCTGCGTGGGCAGCAGAAGTGTCTCTCCAGCTCGGGCGAGTCTGTCCCTCCAGGAGACAAGGATATCCTCCATTAAAAATCCCTGGTCTTCTGTAAATGCTCCCTGCTCCTAAATGCCACCACAACTCTTGCCCAGGCACGCACGGCCGGAACAGAGCAAGCTGTGACAATTTGCCATTCAAGTCCTGCAGGGCTGTCCTTAACCCTCAGCCAGCACTTGGGATCCTCTCTGATTGATAAGAGCCTCCAAAAAAACTTGAGAATAAGAGTTCAGGCTTTCTAAATTCAGCATATCATTAATGCGTGACCTTTTCTTTTTTTCTGTCGAGATGTTGAGGTCTGAATCCCGTTCAGCAGCTGGTGGTGTTTATTGGTGTGACATTTGTAGTCCCACCTAAACCCCAGGGGAAGTGATGGAGCTACCACACATTTCAGGATGCTAGATCCTTTTCAGTCAGAACAAGAGATAGTCCCTGTCCCAAAGTGTTATTTTCCACAGATCCCTGGATTTTAAGGCCAAGAGGACTGTTGTGATCAAATGGGGTTTTGTGGCACCCAGTTTCCTGGCCAGCCATCTTGCCAGGTGTAGGAATGTTTGAACAGTGGTTGAAATATCCCTCTGTTCTGGTAGCTGCCAGCCTCTTTCAGACCAGGATTTCCATACCTGTTCTCCTACCTACCTGCTTTTTTCCATGACCTCGCTCCCTTTCAATGCCAGGAGAAGGGCAGGTGACTGCAAGTCCTTGACGGCTGCTCTGCCGAGCTCCGGCACCCCTGTCACCTTTCGGTGGATCGCTTTCAAATGTTGACTCCCTGGAGTTGATCTGGCTAGATCCACACCTGGGTGGAGAAGTCCTGCAAGCTCAAAGCCTCTCTCTTGCACACAGCAGGACCATGACGATGGTGCTGTGGCTAGGCTGGCTCTCAGGTCTGGAGCTGGCATGATGCACCTTTTATCCTCTCCCACACATTCCCTAATCAACTGCCACCCCTCTTGTAGCTCGTGCCCTCAAAGGGCAGTTGGGAGAGTCGTTACCAGGGCACGTCCCTGTTAAGTAAGCGGCAGCAGAGCAGAGGGCCTGCTTCACCACTGAGTAAATCCAATAGAGCCACAGGTTTGGGTGCTGTTTAATTGAGCCAGAATTCCAGGGGTTTAGATAAGCTTTGAAGAGTATTAAAGGCAATTCTGCAGGAATTAACCGGGCTGAACTAGGCTTAAAAATATCTTTGCAAGCTTTAGTGGGAGTCCTGGCAGCATTAGGGAGATAGCTGTGTGCAGAGCAAGAAGCCAGTTTCTGGCTGGCCTTGGGTTGTTTAATCTCCCTGAAGAGTGTTTTAGCTGGTTTGCTGTGGTAAGGCCACCCTCAGAAGGAATTTAAAGCTTATCTATGGGCTGAACAGGCACTGTGAAATGCAGATGAAGGCCCTCTCTCTGGTTTTTAGGAAGCTTGGGAGGTCCTTGTACATAGAGTCTTCCCAAGCCATTCTCAGCATCTCTAGGAGGACAGGAGATACAGGAGCTTAAAGTGACTGATTTCCATCTTACCGCAGCAAAGACATCTCAGAGAAGCCCTGCTGGGCTGGATCCTGCTCTTAGTCCCCCAAAGTCAAAGCCAGAGCACTTCCAGATGGAGTGACTCTTAGTAATGTCATCAGAGGGGTTGCTGAGTGGCCAAGTGCACTGCCTCAGTTTCCCAAAACCCAGTTAGGGACATCATCTCATCCACTGGAGCTGCAGAAAGTCCAAGGAGATGCCTTTAAAAAAAACAGCTTTAAGATCCAGAATGATAGATGTCAGACTTTGCTGTTACAGTTGTTACCTTGCCAGATTGCCTGCAATCGGTGTGCAAACCCCAGCCCTGTCTGGACTCTTTCAGCCCCTACACGGTGGATTTGGAGCGATACTACCAGACAGAGAACGAAGACGAGAACCCCTTCATCTGCTCCCAGCCCCGGGAGAACGGGATGCGCTACTGCCGGAGTATTCCAACGCGGAGGGAAGAAGGCCTTGAGTGCACCCTGGATTATTATTCCTACAACGACACCACCAACACGTCCTGTGTCAACTGGAACCAGTATTACACAAACTGCTCCGCCGGGGAGCACAACCCTTTCAAGGGAGCCATCAACTTCGATAACATTGGCTACGCCTGGATCGCGATATTTCAGGTGAGCCCTGTGTGCAAACTGTCACAAGGTGGGGAACAGCCGGTCATGCCTCCCAACACGTTTCTGGGGGCTACGTAATCACACTCCTGGGGGCTATTTTGCACCAGCAAGCACCTATATAGCAGTGCATGGGTGCTCAAAATGTCAGGGATACAATTTGATGCCTTCTTTGAAGATGCTTCCATCTCACATGCATGGACAAAACCCCAGTCTCCAAACCTCGTGTGCATGCAAGAAGACCATCCTGATGTGGAGCAGAGCCTAGAGCCTGCTCTTCCCTCTGCAAAATGCAGTAGTGGGCTCTAGGTCCAGCTGGAAAAGAAGGGCTGGATTCAGCCTGGGCAGCTGGCAACGTGGCTGTTGGCATTGGTGGGAGCAGGATTTGGCTCCGCAGTGTCTTGTACTGCACCAAGATCAGCTATGGGGTGTCAGAAATGACCCAGCCAGGAGAAACGTTGCTTGTGCACCTGGTGTTGTAATTGAGCCTTGACCGGTTCATTTTCCCTTCTTGTCTCCACCAGGTCATCACACTGGAAGGCTGGGTGGACATCATGTACTTTGTCATGGACGCACACTCCTTCTACAACTTCATCTACTTCATCCTCCTAATCATTGTGAGTGGCCTTAGAGGAACATGGGGGTCCTCCTGGCATTTGGGGAGGGCAGAGTGGAGTGACCCAGAGGAACAGGGCAGATAATATAGTGAATATAAAAGCTGGTGCCATGTAGGAGGGGTAGAAACCAGCCTGCTGGAAGACACACAGCTTCAATATGGCATTGTATTGCAGCTGCATTTTGCTGCAAACATGAAGGAAGGAAAGAAAGATGTGCTTAAGCTATGGTAGATACACTTCTGCTGTTTCTACTACTTCTCTCCTTGTGCTCCAAGGTCCTCTCCCTTAGTCGCCACCTTGACTTTAAGTTTAAAAGTAGGCAAATTTCCCCTGGTCAGGTTTTGAGCTCTGGAAGGGGAGGAAGCTGCCCAGAAATTCCCCCATATTGAAGAACCCAGCTGGCTGGGTCCTTGGTGCAGAGTGGACATTTCAGGAAAACAGTCCCAAACTTCAGAGAGCACATTAAGAAAGGAGGGAAGAGATTACTGCCCACAGCCCACCCACGCTTCACAGCATCATCCGAGACCACCCACAAAGGACCCAACAAAGAGTTTCTGTGAGGTGGGCTCCATGATGGGCTTCATCTATGCAAGCAGAATTGTCTACCGTGACTGGCTGAGCTCGTTGTCTAGACTCCCTTTATCGTCAAGGGAGAAAGATAGGTGCTTTAAAGGAGTGATTCATCTCCTCCGAAGGTAGACATCCAAAATAAATTAGATGCATTGCAGACTTGATGTGCCTATTTCTCACTTGACTCTAAAGGATCATTAGGTGCCTCACTGAGATGTAGCTGAGATAAGTGAGATGAGTCCCTTTCTTGCTGTCTAATTGGACTAAGTCCAGCAAAATAGCTGCATGTCATCCATTAGGCCGTTGTGGGGATTTCTGCTCCTCATCAAACCAGGACTCAAACCCTGATGAGAAGGTAGGAGGTCGTTTATTCCATGGTGCTTTTTCTGGTTCATCTATTAGCTTCCTCAAAAAAGAAACAATCCCTTGGTCTCAGCATCCCCAAAACAATGGAGAGGAAGGGCAAGCAGTACTTTTCCAGATGCTGCGCGAGTAACGTTAGCGGCGTGTGATAGCCCGTTAGCACATCAGTAATTCTCTGTGATCCAGGCTGGGCTCTGCAGAAGGCAGAACCTCATGAAACCCTGGTTGGAAATAAAATCTCCAAGCTGTGGGTACGGGCTGCTGATGCCCTTGCGTAATAGTCACCCGCAAATCCCGTTAGCAGGGGAAAGGGATCTGCTCGCCAGCTGCCCACACACTGCCAGAAAAAATGCTCCTATCAGGAAGGCTCAGTGCATTCATCGTAATGCCACTAATTGTGATAATTACAACCGCTGTCTGCAGAGAGAGAAAAACACCGTCTTAAAAGAGCAAAAGCTTTTTGTCAAAATAATCTTCTTTCGTCTTTGATCTCTGACGTCCTCCGTGGAGCGCTGGTGTGGGAGTCCCCGGGGCGGGGGCTCGGGGGGTGAGTCAGCCCCTCCACGGTCCCGGCCGGTGGTCCCTGCCGGGTGATGCAGGAGATGGGGCTGGCTGGAGTTTGCCCCCTGCTCCTTGCGCCGGGGCGTGGGGTGAGGCAGGGCTACGGGGTGGGCATGGCCACCCCGAGGTGGCTGATGGCTCCGGTCCCCTTAGGTGGGCTCCTTCTTCATGATCAACCTCTGCCTGGTGGTGATAGCAACGCAGTTCTCTGAGACGAAGCAGCGCGAGAGCCAGCTGATGAAGGAGCAGCGCGTGCGCTACCTGTCCAACGCCAGCACCCTCGCCAGCTTTTCGGAGCCAGGCAGCTGCTATGACGAACTCCTCAAGTACCTGGTTTACATTGCCCGTAAAGGCAGCAAGCAGCTCGTGGAGGTCTACCGGGTGGCAGGCGTGAGGATGGGCTTCCTCACCAGCCCCACGAGCAAAGCCGGGGCCGACCGGCATGCCAGGAAGCGCCGGAGCAGGAAGAGGTCCTCTGTGCACCACCTCATCCACCACCATCACCACCACCACCACCACTATCACCTGGGCAATGGGAACCTGCGGGCGCCCCGCGCCAGCCCGGAGATCAGCGATGTGGAGACCAGCTCGCTCCACAACGGGACCAACCGGCTGATGCTTCCCCCCTCGGCACCGAACCCCCATGGGGCCCCCAGCGCCGCTCCCAGCAACACCGAGTCCGTCCACAGCATCTACCACGCTGACTTGCACTTTGAGCCTGTGCGCTGCCAGTCATCCCTCCCGCAGCCGGGCCTCGGCTTGCCGAGCCCGGAGGGGATCCCCAAGAACATCGTGGGCAGCAAGGTGTACCCCACGGTGCACCCCAGTACCTCCCACGAGATGCTGAAAGAGAAGAGCCTGGGGGAGGCGGCGGTCGGTGCCGGGAGCAGCACCTTGACAAGCCTCAACATCCCGCCTGGGCCGTACAGCACCATGCACAAGCTGCTGGAGACGCAGAGCACGGGTGAGCCTGGGGCTGGGTGTCGGTCTGGGGTTGTCTTGCAGGAATACGAGCTACAACCTGATTTCTTTCTCTTTTTGAATCTTTGCAGGGTTCTTTTCAGTCCACGTCACGGAGAAAGGCGATGGCTTTCCAGGTGAGGCCAACACAAATATTCTGACGCACCTAAGGCATCTTATAGCCAAAACCAGGAGAGAGGTTTCAACCTCCCAGACTTCATACGTGCGAAAATCCAAGGGAAATGAATGTTTTAATGAACCCATCTTCTTTCCCATCCCCATCTCCTGCCAGTGAAACGAATTTATTCTGCAATTACAGAGAACACTCCCCAAATCAGCTAGAACTGGGCTCGGTGACGCCAAGCAGAGCTGGAGCCCAGCCTGGCCACTCCCAAATGGCCATGTCCCTTCCTCGCTAAAACACAGGGGTTGGAGGTGGCTGTGTTGCCCACCGCTTGCTGCAGAGCTTGGGGATGGACACCTTCCAGATCTAAGTCCCAGCATATCCCTGAGCACTGCGTAGCTCTGCTCCCTGTGGGACCTGCGGCTCGGGGAGATTGAGGGTCTGCTTTGCACGAGTGTTCAGTGGCAATCGCAGATGCCAAATATTAAAAATCTGCCTGGAGCGATTTGCTCAGGAAGCCCGTAACAGAGCCAGACACCGAATGCAGCTTTCCTGGATTGGGGGTTTCATACCTTCACTGCAAAATGCTCTTTCCCCCTCCACACCCTGAGGTTTGGAAGCCCAGGCCAGTCTAGTCCAAACCCTCTCAGCCTCCAAGAAGCATTTCTGGCCAAGCTTTCCCAGGCGGTCAATGCCTTTTCTACCGCTCCGCAGCGGCATTGACCTTTCCAGCCAGGAGCTGTGCAGTGAAGAGACCAAGTCCTGCCCCCAGCCCAGAGCTGCCCAGAAAGTAAATACACAGAGCTGGGCTCTGAGGTGGTTTAGTGCTGGGTTTTTATTCGCACTGCTGGTTGCTGCTGTGCGTGAGTCAGGAGCGTGCTTTGCAGATAGCCTCTCCCCTGGCAGCCAGCTGGTGGGATTTTTGGGGAATATCCCACTGGGAGCCACCTGGCAGCTGGAAACTGCCGCTGGGGGCAGCGCATGGAGTGGGAAGCTGGTGATTTTGGAGCATCAGCAAGCAGCGGGAGCAGGAAAGGAGGCTGCTGGCAGCGGCGCTCCCGCTAATTACAGCCTGGAGCCTGCCAGGGCCAGGGGAGCTGATTGCTTTCTCTTAGCCATAATAGCCAGAGGTATAACGAGGTGGGCTAGGGGCCCTGGACTGGCAGCAGTGTCTGCCTGCGGGCAGCAAAGAGGGCTTTGTAACTGGGGAGAAGGCGCTCGGGGAGCCCAGGTTTTGCCGAGGGCTCTTTAACCCAGCAGGAGCCCTTTTCCCCTCAGGAAATGCCTGTGCTGTCAAGGGCAACAGCTTGGTGCTAACGGCGACTGGGGGTTGCTCCCAGGGCTGCCCGCAGCCCCCCCATCCCAGCTGACAGGTTGCCCTGCCCCTGCCCTGCTGGTGTTTCAGGTCCCTGCCAAAGCTCCTGCAAGATCTCCAGCCCCTGCACCAAGCTGGACAGCGGCTCCTGCAACCCTGAGAGCTGCCCTTACTGCCTCAAGGCGCTGGCGAGCGAAGCCGAGCTGACGGACAACGAGACGGCCGACTCGGACAGCGAGGGGGTCTATGAGTTCACACAGGATGCCCACTACAGCGACCAGCGGGACCCGCAGCGGGGCAGAGTCCGGACCAGGAGAGTGAGACGGGTGCTGGCGTTCTGGCACGTGGTGTGCGAGACCTTCCGGAAGATCGTGGACAGCAAATATTTTGGCCGTGGGATCATGGTGGCCATTCTCATCAACACGCTCAGCATGGGGATTGAGTACCACGAGCAGGTGAGCGGTGTCCCAGCAGCTCCCGGCGCAGCGGCGATGCGGGCAGCGTTATGGGTCCGAATCTGGCCGTTGACAGGATGGTTTGGGGCGAGAGGCATTGGGGTGCTGTAGGAAGGGTCCCAGGCCAGAGCAGGGCTGATTTTTCTCCTCTGAGCCTGCTTCCAGCTTGCAGGCAGAGGCAGGCAGCAATCACCTTGGCTGGTACCGGGCTGCGCGAGCTCCTGCATCCTGGCCCCGCCAGGGATGCTCAGCACCGTGCTGAGACCACCGTCACGTGGGCAGCACCGCGCGTTGCTGGTTTCTGGGGTGCAGGGGCCAAGGAGAGGGAGCAGCCGTTTGCCGCTGCGTCTGTGCCAGCCCGGCAGTGCTAGTAGTGCTGCCGGCAGCTGCGGGCTCCAAGGTCGGTGCAGCTGCAGGCAGGGAAGTCTATTGAATTTGCAGTCCCTGGAGAGGAGGTAACAAATGCCTTTGCCTCCCCGGTGAACGCTTCAGCAGCAGCACGCTGAGTCCAAAATAGGCTCATTGCTGGCTATTCCTCCACTTGATTATCTGAGTCTTTGCAGGCAAGAGGCTGCCTCTGCTCCAGCCTCTCGCACACTTGTCACCTAGCAGAGCTTTTCTCTGTATATATTGTCATTAAGAAAAGGAGTTGCCACGTTCCTCTTGAAATGTCTCCATAAGGATGACAAGAGCTCTGCTTTTAGAGAGGCTTTTGCACAGTCTGGTCTCACGTAGGTTTTGTGGCTGCGGCCGGCAGCACGCCTGGCGTGGTGCCCTCGGTCCTGCCGCAGGCATGGGATGGCTTGGTGCTGCAGGTGCACGCTTCATCTGCATTTGGAGGGAAGAGTTTATTAGTGGGGATGCTGAGATGCTGCAAAACCTTGTTATACACCCTTCCAATGCTTGAGGGCTCCCAGTGGCCAGCCCAGCATGGTGCTTCTCCCAGGATGCCAGACCTCTCTCCTCCCGGACAGACACGGCCACCCCTGTCCCAGTGCCAGCCTTCGCTGGGAACTCCCTTGCATCTCGAGTCGCGGCTGTTTACTTTTCTCCCTTCCTGGCACGTTTTGTATTTGCAGAGTCACTCGCAGCTGCACGCAGAGGCATTTCTCCCACAGCTCCCAGTGGCAGTGCTGGTGGCTGCAGACCGGCTCCAAATTCCCGTGTCCTCCTGTGGCATTAATGCCTCAGTGACTGAACGCCAGGGAGACGCGGCTCTCCTAAGTGTGTCCCTTCCAGCCAGCGCCTTCTCCCTGACGTCCTAATACAGTTTGGCTGGCTAACCGTTGTTTTCAGTACACATTAAACAGCGATGCGCTCTGAAGTCCTGCAGGTTTCGCCTTCGTGTGCTGCCCTTGGTGGGAGCTCTGCGGGGAAGCTTGAGTGATTCCACCTTTATTTAATAATATCGGGAAGATCATCTCCTAAGAACCTGGGGGGAGGTGGCTCAGGAAACCAATAAACAGTTATATTCCTCCTTTGGCTGAGAGGTGAAAGCAGATCCGCTGTGTCTTTGCTGCCACTGTCCAAGGGGCAGATTGTCAAAGCTTGTTGCCCTTTTTCAGGAGCGTCTTTGGGAGATGCTGGTGTAGGCTCCTGTGAGTGTAGCGGTGGACCGTCCCACCAGAGATGGGTGGCCGAGCAAGCTCCCATCACCAAACACCCTAGAGGCCACACAGCTCCTTAATTCTTTGGCTCGGGGGAAATAGGGCAGCGGGGTCCTGGCCTCTGCCCCGGCCAGTGGTGCATCCCAGCAGGGAGCTGGACGGGAAGAGGCAGACTTTTGTGGTGGTTTTCGGGTAATAAGGTGAAGGGAGCTGATAAGCGTGGGGGGACTCCAGATGCTGTGGGTGGTTGCTTTCTTTGACGGTATTTTGAAACTACTACTGTTCCAGATTCCTTTCTCCCAGGCATTTGGAGTGAATAGCGGAGCTTGTTTTTATTAGTTCGTCTGCTCAAAGTGGCGGCAGAGAGCAGAGAGGTGTTTTTCTGTAAACTTGGGAGGCTTATAGCCTGCAGTTTCATAATCTGACAGTTATGAGAGCAGGAATTAGAGGGCAGAAATGCTGGACCAGGCCTTTCTGCAGAGATTATAAACACCGAAACATGTGATTTTTTTCTTTTAGAAGAGCCTTTCCTAAAAGTGCAAGTGATCAACCACGCCAAATTTATCTTCATTGGCTGATGTTTGCAAAGACGTGAGGGGGCTTGACGAGTACTTGACTCCATGACTTTCTATATTAAGCTCTCTGCTTATTTAATGAATATTTACCTCTTGGGCTTTTCACATGAGGCCACCCTGGGCACACGGGGCTATATTAGGATAAATACTTTCAGGACATGTTTTATGGTGCCATGTCAAAAGCCTTGTGTTGTTTACCAGCACCGTGCCAGGGGGGAGAGGACACGCTAGCAGCTGCTGCATGAGAGGACGGATGGGCTAGTGGTTACTCTGGGAGGAGGAAGGCTTCTGCCCTCCCATCTGTCCCCAGCAGTGTTGGGTGGGATTCAGCAGCTCTGGGACCACCAGAGCATCCTGGACTTCAAAACATGAGATGGTCAGCTGACATCCTCCTTATAGCCAGGGGAGAGAAGTATGCTCCTCCGGAGGCTATCTCACCTTGGGACAGGCATCCTGGAGAGACCTGCTTTTCTCCATGGACGATGTCTAGAAGACTGAAACAGTCTTTACAGTCATTTGCTTAACAGACTCATCAACCAGAGAAGGCCAGGTTGGGATATTTAGGATGAAAGTGGTGGTTTGAAGGCACATCAAAACGAGTGGAAATTTGGAGTGTGTTGAAAACACTGGCCCACACCTCTTGCTGTTTATTTGCGTTCACCTGTCAGTCAACGTGGCCAGACCGAGCGCCCATGGCCAGGGGTGCTGGATGCACATAGCAAAGGTAGTTCATGTCCCCAGGAGCTCATCTCCTACTTTAGGACCTTCCATCCCAAAGCTCCTCTCCATAGACCACCTTCCACAAAAACTCACTGTCAACAAATATTTTACCCTTGTATGGCTGGGGGTTCAGGAGCTGGGTTTCCTCTAAGCTCCTTCTGACATGAGCTTGCTGACTTTCTCACTCAGCATCAGGTTGCTTCCACGTGGTTCCTGCACGTGCATGAGCCTGGCCGGGCTTACCTCTGCATTTTCTGCCCATCCTCCCCACCCGTCCAGCTCTGACTCTTGCCTTTCTCACGACTGCTGGGTTTGGTGGGAGGAAAGCAGAGCGGTTTGAAGTGCACGTAGCACTCACCATGTCGCTGCTGCTGGGCAGCAGTGTGAAATTTTCCATCAGGGAAACGACAACCAGATTGCTGCGGATTATTAATGTGACTGCTAAATAGCTTGTTTTTCTACAGAGATGAAGCAAAATGCAGGTAGAAACTATTAGCTTTGGGTAGAGGAATATAAAGGTGATTTAAAGGTAGACTCCGGGGGATTTTAAATACGCTGTTGAACCAATTGACTGATTCGCCTTAGGGAAGCTGAGGCTCTGCAGCGCTGCGGGTTCAAACAGCTAGGGCTTTGCAAAAGCTTGTTCTGCCATAGAGCAGGAGTAAAATGTGCTGCTAAACCAGAGGGTTTCTGTGCTGCTTTCCCCCCAGCCCTGGCTGTAAGCCAGACTCTGTTCCATAATGTGCTGCTTTTTTTTTTTATTTCCCCAAATCCTTCCTTGGAGTAAAATGCAAAGGCTTTAGTACAAGGCGTGATGTTGGACTCCTCAGCAGGGGAAAGAATTCGGCAAGGGCTTCCTTGAGGAAGGGTTTTGGAGTTTTGTATTTGTTTTTAAAATATGGTTCGCATTGAGCTTCCTGGCTGTTCCGATTTTCCTTGTCTGAACTTGCATTGTATGAACTATACCCTACATATTCATTTGTTTAAATAGTGCTTGAATTTCAGCCGCCGTCTCTGCGGTGTTTTGCCATTGTTAACATAACAAGAGACTGGAGAGTCCTGCACTGGCCTCCCCAAAGCTGCAGCTGGTTCAAATCCATGGCTGGAGCTTGTGGGGACTTGGATCTAGAGTGGTCCAAAACTCTGGTGTCTCTGAAGGAAGGAAGAGAAATCGGTTCAGACCTGTAGAGAACCTTTTGTTAATTCTTAAAAGCAAATTGGAGAGATGATGGGGGTGAATGACTCTTTGGGACAGCACCCAAGGAGAAAAGCTCATCACCCACGGGAGGCAGTTCTTCAAGGAAGTGGGAAGAGGCGACGCCTGACATCCCCCCAGCAGGAGGGTAACTGATGGAGTACCCCCAGCTACAGCAAGGTGTTGTAGGAATCCACAAAGCAGCAGTGCCACCAACCAGGGTGTGCAAACTCCATCTGCAGAAGGCAGGAGCAACCTCAGCCCATGGTAGTATCTAAAGCTGAATTCCTAGTGCGTCCCACTGCAGGGGCCCAGAGTGTACACAGTGCAGATGATGTAAAGTTGTCACGATCTGATAGCCGGTGCGGCATGGAAATATCAACCATCTGTGCCAAAGCATCAAAGGAAAGCTTGCTGGCAAAATGCATTAAGGTGTCTATTTATGTAAACAGTTGAGGCTGGAGAGCATGGGAGTCTTCCTAGTCAGCGTCAGAGGATGTGAAATTTTCAGGTATCCAGGATGATCGAGAGGGGAGGTGAAGGGTCAGTAACTGCAGCAGCATTAGAAAACCTGCCGGCATGGAGGAACCATTAGGCTCCAGGTTCAAGCATTTATAATAGTCACCCATATGGTATTTATGTACTTCTGCTTCTGCCTGAATTCAGTGTGTAGTGAAGAAGTTAACTGAAAACTATTAGCTGTCGTGACACCCACTGATTGGTTTCTCCATGTGGGAGGAAAATTTGATTGCTCCATGGAGAAGTGGGTAACGGAGCTGGACAGTGGGGATTTGGCAGGCTGGTGTCCCAGGTCTTGGGATGCTTGAGTCTGTGCTAGTGTCCAAAGTCCTGGGCAGGCTGGAGGGCAGCAGGTCTGGATCCATTTGTGAGCACTGCCTCAAG